AGTGAAGCTCAGGGGTTACATAACCTCACTCATGTAAATTGGTGGGGACCTCCTAAGAGTCCAACCTAAAAATCCTCCAACCATTTGGCTGTATATCCTCTGTCCATCCTTTTCCCATATGATGGGTCCAGGTGGCCATGCACAGTTTTGTGTAATACACTCGAGTACTAATATTTATCCTAAAATAGGTACACCATTAACATTAGTATTGATGACATACATCTCAATTTTGATGCTATTCACAGTCAGTATAGTTAGAACACAGACAAGAAGAACTTCAGGTTTAGAGATATCTTGGCCCTGGCGTTGTCCCAACTCCTGGGCATCGTTCATCAGGTTCTTAATCATTCCCCAGGTCACAGGAGGCTGCATCTTCTTCTGGCCGGGTCTCCTTTTCCACTTCCCCAGGGTCAGTGCAACCATCTTTGCTGTGGGGGCTACGGTTGAGTGGTCTGACATATCTGAGTGGCACCCATCAAGGGGAGGATTCATTTTCTGGAAAGACACAAGCATATTCTCGTCCCATTGTTAGTAGAGGTGCTGGAGTTTTGCTCCACAGTCCTGACTCAGGGTCCTTCCAAAGTACTTGTGGCAGAGGCTGTGGGACAGTCAGTCCCTGCCAGTGCTTGGCCATTGGAGAAATTCCTTGATCATTTAGTGCGAAAAAATTTAAAGTTAGTAGAGACCTGTGTAATAAGAAATGAGGATTCTGTACTGTTATCCCAGGTATAGGTGATTTCCTGGTATTTATGTTGTCTCTCTATTATTGTTTGTCCTGTGGTGTTGTAAGGAATGCCAGTGGTATGTGAAACACCCCAAGCTTCACAGAATAGTTGAAAAATTTTACTAGTATAGGAGGGCCCATTATTGTCCTGGGTTGCTGGAGGTATTCCTAAAATTGAAAATGTTTGAATAAGATGTTTAATTACATCTTTTGATTTTTCTCCTGTATGAGCTGTGGCATTTAAAGCCAAGGAATAAGTATCTACTGTACAGTGGACATATTTAAGTTTTCCAAATTCAGTAAGCTAGCCCTCGCTGTCTCACTATCCAGTGTGGATCTCCAGGCTCTCAAGGTGCAGAGGCGCACCTGATCAAAATATTGAGCTGGTAAAACCTTTTGTGCCTCAGCATCAGCATATTGACCTTCACCCTTAAGCATGTCAGCTGTCACATCAACATTAGCTTGAGCATTTCTTGCTGCTTTCGCAGTACATTCATCATAGTATTTAGACTTAAAAAGAAGCCATTGTCCCGGGGACAAGGCAGCCTGGGCAAGGTGTTTGAAGTCCCAAGCAGTGACTAATTATCGAATAAGCTGATCAAAGATGGCCATGGTAAAGGGGCCATGCATACCATTTTCCATCACATCCTTGCTCATTGCTTTTAGCGTTTCAAAGCCAAAAGGACTATGCATTCTAAGTTCAGGGTTGTCAGCTACCGCACGGCCAGCTGGGATGTGAACTGGAAAGAACTGAGGGGATGGATATGGCAAGGGAGCCAGAGGTTCTCTAGAGAAAGTGTCTCCTGTGAGCAGATTTTGAAACATGGGAAGGAGAGATTCAGGGTCAGAAGCAGAAAAAAAAAGTATAAGAAACATATGACATGGGGAATGCTGAGGGACAAGGGGACATAGGGAGAGATCCTAAAGTGGAGGCCACCTCCCCCTCTCTAATAGAATTAGAGTCGAGTGGTTGCATTCCCAGAGGCTGTGCCACAGCAGGAGGGGGCACAGGCAGCTTCACAGCACTCAGAGGAGGTGCCAGCAGCTGAGTAGCAGCCTGAGAAGGTTCCTGCTGTTGGGCTGTTGTGGAGGGAGGACTGGCAGGGGGAGGGAGCAGAGGTGGAGGTGGCTGGGCCACAGAGGAAAGGGGTTCCTCTTCTATTTGGAGACACTGGCAAAGAGCAGACCAGAGAGGGAAATAGAAGACAGGAACAGTCTTTCCCTGCTTTTGATAATTCTGTACATTGTCTCCTACTCTTTTCCAAGATTCCAAGTCAATAGTTCCCATAGCAGGAAACCAAGGATTACATTCTATAGTAATATCTAAAAAGGCCTTAATCTGCGTTTCTGTACATTTAATTCCTCTAGACTTTAGCATGCATTTAAGAATAGATTGGAAGTGAGACCGGTCTGGAGAGAGATAATTACCCATATTTACAATTGCCCCTTACCTATGAACCAGCGTGACAAGGGGATCCGATCAGCCTAAGGGGGGAGAATTGCTCTGTATGCAGCGAAGCAGAGGTCCGAGAAGGTCCCTGTTCAGGCACCAATTGTGGGGACTCAGGTTTGCTTTGCTTAGCCGGGGGCCTGCTGGCTTCGGGGCAGAGAGCCTGATCAGCGACAGAGTCAAACTCTGGCACCTGTGTCTTCCCAACAGGATGATTTATTTTAGAATTTAGATGGTTTTTATACATCCCAAGGAACTAGCAGTCATGTGGATATGACAGTTACATATAAAGATTTAAGGTACAAAGAAACAGGACATTTAGTCTGTTAGTTGGTGCCATGATTCTTAAACTTTTACTCAAGGTTATCAATGCCCATCCAGTAATTTATTGGCCACAATCTTTTCTTTCTTAAAAGCATGGTAAACTTTCAGCTTTTAGCTCAGGAGCAAACCTTTGACCTGGCCTAATCTCTTAGCCAGGGATAGCTGAGTTATTTGTTTAGGACAAGGAGATGAGCTAAGGGTTGTTGACCAAGACGCTTTCCCACACAGCAGGGAGCCTGCACTTTTATGACCAGGCCGCCTACTCCTGACAACCCAACAGTGTTCTGCAAGGCAGGGATTATCAGAGACACTTTTCTCAGTGCCCCTACCTTTTAGCAGAGAATGGAGCCTGGACATATAAGTCTTAGGCTCACCTCACCATATAGGCTGGCATCCTGGTTTCCTACAGAGCTATGCAGGCTTCATTAGCCCCAGGAAAGGCTTTTGGCCCGGGTTTATATCACAAGATGACAGGGAGGACCAGTGAAGCCCCCTGAACAGATAGCATTTCTTGGTATTATCTTACGCACTGAAAAGTCAAAAATTCGTGTGAAACCTGACATCATGACTCCCAGGTGTGATATGCACACCCTAATCATCCTAGACCGGCATAGTCATGCAAGTGTTCTCTCAGGTGGAGTTTTAACCTACTTCATGAATACTCGTGTGTTGCAGTGATGTGTGGCAGCCTTTCTGGGGTGAGGATGGAGTTGCCCGAATTGAGTCGACAGGGTCTCCCAGAAACAGCCTGGCTGTGGAATGGCTTACTTGTGGAAAGAGTGCTTCTCTGGATCGATGATGAGGACAACTACCTGAGGATGCTGAGGGTCTCATAACAAATGGCAATCTGAGGTCCAGACCTGTACCTCTGTGGAGACGACTAAGATTCTCACAGCCTGGCATAGCCTGGGTTCTCCTGCCAGGCAGTTTGTAAACACATTGTTCAGGCTTCCGTTTACAGGGCCACGAGACCTCGGCATCAATCCAATGTTCACAGACTGAGAAGGCTGGCCTCCCTTTCTCTCCTTTGCTACTCAGCTCTGGAAATGTGGAGAGGCTCTGGGTGTTCTTGAGACAGCATTGAGGACCTTGGGAAGAGCCCATAAGGACAGGTTCCCATACAAGAGATTGTACTTAAGGTCTCTTTCTTCCTGCCACACGAGGAAGCCCTTTCTATAGGAGGGGATCCAAATTCCAGTCGTACAGGGGGAACTTAGATTCAGGGTAGGGTTGTTACTTCATTCATGTCTTTGTTTCTCCCACTCTGTCTTGTGGAAAGACAATTTTGTGAGGAATGTGGTATCAGGAAAACCTGTGTAGTATGACTTGCTGTGGGTTGGGCCAGATGGAGGTAAGCACGCCAGGAGGCTCAGCATCCCCAGTGAAGCTTTCCAGATGGGTTCAATGAGTGGGGATTCATGACTCTCACAGTCCAGCCCTCGCCCATCTACCGATTCCATTTGGAATCAATGACCCCGGGGCCATGGGTATTTGTGAGCATCCCCGCCGTTGAGAAAAGATGCCCTCTTTGACCTACAGCTGAGGTCTTCTCTGTCTTTGTGACTGCAGGAAAGAAGCAAGAGACTCGTGAAATGCCTGGAAAGAAAAGGTAAGCGGCTCCTATACCCTTTTAATATACTTTCTGTATTCTGGCTTTTGTCAGGTCAGAACATTTTGGGATAGTTTATGAGAGGGCCTGTCAGGAGGCTTTAAGCTTCCAGGCTTCTTGGGTGCTTCTCTCCAGGACACGTTGGTCATTTATCTTGTCTTCCCCAATTTTGATCTCCTACATTTTGGAAACTTCCCTTCGAGAAGTGACCTCTGTCAATAAATTGAAGGGACAATCTACCCAGCCCTGAATTCTGTGTCAGTGAGAGTAACTGGTTGCTCTGAAAGAGGCAGCAAGCGCCTGACATTCTACATTTTCTAGGCAGGTCCCTGGGCAGCATCAGTGTAAATGGCATCAAAGAAATGGCTGCAGGTACATCCTTTATCCAGGAAAAAGGAATAGGAATTGAACTCTGCCTTGGAGTATTCCAGGTCCAGGAGCAGAGTACACAGGTGCACAGCAAAGAAGTGGTACAGGAAGCAGGGCTGGTGGGGTCATCAATTTAGATTGTCTTCTAGGCTTCACCAGGACCTCTTCTACCCACATTCAGAGGGAGAGTGACGTCCTTTGAGATATGCCTCTGAGTCCCATGTTCTGTCTCGGAATTCCCATGCTGAGTACTCCAAGGTCCCTAGGTTCTGCGCCAGTGAAGCTGGACTCCAGAGGGAGAGCTTTACAGGCTTCACTGGCCCCAGGAAATGGTTTTGGCCCGGGTGTACATCATGGGATGACAGGGAGTACCACTGATGCCCCCTGAACAGATAGCATTTTCTGGTATTGTCTTATATGCTGAAAAGTCAGAAATTCGTGTGAAACCTATAATCATGACTCCCACGTGTGATATGCACGCCCCAATCATCCTATACTGGCATACTCATGCAAGTGTTCTCTCAGATGGAGTTTTAAACTACTTTATGAATACCCGTGTGTTGAAGTCATGTGTTACCACCCTACAGGGGTGAGGATGGAGCTAAGGAGAACCTAGAGCTCACCAGGGATGGGTGGGAAGGGGTAAGATCTTCTCAGTTCAAATTTGCGCAACAGTGCCAAGGGCCATATCCATGCCACACGACCTCTCCTGTGCTGACAGGATGTTCTCTTCCCAAGATTCTCATTGGATGGCTCCTGTCATTCTGCTGTTTCTAGACCAACACATATCAGGCTTCTCCACATTGGGCGTGTGGCACTTCTGCACTGGCAGTGTAATTACATTGTCTCCTGTGCATTTCTGTTCTTCTGCCTGAATCGAGTAGACAGGGTCTTCCAGAAACAGCCTGGCTGTGGAATGGCTTACTTGTGGAGAGAGTGCTTCTCTGGATTGATGATGGGAACAACTAACTGAGGACACTGAGGGTCTCATAACAAATGGCAATCTGAGGTCCAGACGTGTAGCCTCTGTGGAGACGACTAAGATTCTCACAGCCTGGCATTGCCTGGGTTCTCCTGCCGGGCAGTTTGTACACACATTGTTCAGGCTTCTACTTACAGGGCCACGAGGCCTTGGCATCAATCCTATGTTCACGGACCAAGAATGCTGGCCTTCCTTTCTCTCCTTTGCCACTCAGCCCTGGATATGTGGAGAGGCTCTGGGAGTTCTTGAGACAGCATTGAGGAGATTGGGAAGAGCGCGTAAGAACAGGTTCCCATACAAGAGATTGTACTTAAGGTCTCTTTCTTCCTGCCAGACGAGGAAGTCCTTCCCATGGGAGGGTATCCAATTTCCACTCATACAGGGGAAACTTAGATTCAGGGTAGTGTTGTTACTTCATTCATGTCTTTGTTTCTCCCACTCTGTCTTGTGGAAAGACGATTTTGTGACGAATGTGGTATCAGGAATACTTGTGTATTTTGACCTGCTATCAGCAGGGCCAGATGGAGGTAAGCATGCCAGGAGGCTCAGCATCCCCAGTGAAGCTTTCCATATGGGTTCAATGAGTGTTGATTCATGACTCTCACAGTCCAGCCCTCACCCATCACAGATTCCATTTGAAATCAAAGACCCTGGTGCCATGGGGAATTTGTGAGCATCCCCGCCATTGAGAAAAGATTCCCTCTTTGACCTACAGCTGAGGTCTTCTCTGTCTTTGTGGCTGCAGGAAAGAAGCAAGAATCTCGTGAAATGCCTGGAAAGAAAAGGTAAGAGGCTCCTATATCCTTTTAATATTCTTTCTGTATTCTGGCTTTGTCAGGTCAGAACATCTTGGTATTGTTTATGAGAGGGCCTGTCAGGAGGCTTTAAGATTCCAGGGTTCTTGGTTGCTTCTCCCCGGGACACATTGGTCCTTTATCTTGTCTTCCCCCATTTCGGTCTCCTGCTTTTTGGAAACTTCCCTTCGGGAAGTGACCTCAGTCAATCATTTGAAGGGACAATCTACCCAGCCCTGAATTCTGTGTCAGGGAGAGAAACTGGATGCTCTGGTAGAGGCAGTTAGCACCTGACATTCTAGGTTTTCTTGGAAGGTACCTGTGCAGCATCAGTGTACATGGCATCAAAGCAATGACTGCAGACACATCCTTTGTCCAGGAAAAAGGAATAGGAATTGAACTTCGCCTTGGAGTATTCCAGATCCAAGAGCAGAGTTCACGGGTGCATGAAAAGGAAGTGGTACAGGCAGCAGGGCTGGTGGGGTCATCAATTTAGATTGTCTTCTAGGCTTCAACAGGACCTGTTCTACCCACATTTGGAGAATGACATCCTTTGAGATATGCCCTGAGTCCCATGTTCTGTCTCGGAATTCCCATACTGAGTACTGCAAGGTCACTAGGTTCTGCACCAGTGAAGCTGGACTCCACAGGGAGAGCTTTGCAGGCTTCACTGGCCACAGGAAATGGTTTTGGCCTGGTTATACATCATGGGATGACAGAGAGGACCAGTGATGCCCCCTGAACAGATAGCATTTGCTGGTATTATCTTACATGCTGAAAAGTCAGAAATTTGTGTGAAACCTGAAATCATGACTCCCATGTGTGATATGCATGCCCCAATCATCCTATACTGGCATAGACATGCAAGTGTTCTCTCAGGTGGAGTTTTAACCTACTTCATGAATACCCGTTTGTTGAAATCATGTGTTACCACCCTTCAGGGTGAGGATGGAGATAAGGAGAACCTAGAGCTTAAAAGGGATGGGTGGGAAGGGGTAAGAGCTTCTCAGTCCAAGTTTGCGCGACAGCACCCAGGGCCATATTCATGCCACATGACCTCTATTCTGCTGACACGGTATTCTCTTCCCAAGAATCTCATTGGATGGCTCCTGTCATTCTGCTGTTTCTAGACCAACACATATCAGGCTTCTCCATATTGCACGTGTGGCACTTCTGCACTGGCAGTGTAATTACATTGTCTCCTGTGCATTTCTGTTCTTCTGCCCAAATCGAGTAGACAGGGTCTCCCAGAAACAGCCTGGCTGTGGAATGGCTTACTTGTGGAGAGAGTGCTTCTCTGGATCGATGATGAGAACAACTAACTGAGGACGCTGAGGGTCTCATAACAAATGGCAATCTGAGGTCCAGACGTGTAGCCTCTGTAGAGGCGACTAAGATTTTCACAGCCTGGCATTGCCTGGCTGGCAGTTTGTACACACATTGTGCAGGCTTCCGCTTACAGGGCCATGAGGCCTTGGCGTCAATCCTATGTTCACGGACCGAGAATGCTGGCCTTCGTATCTCTCCTTTGTCACTCAGCTCTGGAAATGTGAAGGGGCTCTGGTTGTTCTTGAGACATCATTGAGGAGCTTGGAAAGAGCTCGTAAGGACAGGTTCCCATACAAGAGATTGTACTTAAGGTCTCTTTCTTCCTGCCAGACGAGGCAGCCCTTCTTATAAGAGGGGATCCAAATTCCAGTTGTACAGGGGGAACTTAGAATCACAGTAGGGTTGTTACTTCCTTCATGTCTTTGTTTCTCCCACTCTGTCTTGTGGAAAGACGATTTTGTGAGGAATGTGGTATCAGGAAAACGTGTGTAGTATGACTTCCTGTGGGTTGGGGCAAATGGAGGTAAGCATAACAGGAGGCTCAGCATCCACAGTAAAGCTTTCCAGATGGGTTCAATGAGTGGGGATTCATGACTCTCACAGTCAGGCCCTCGCCCATGTACCGATTCCATTGGGAATCAATGACCCTGGGGCCATGGGGAATTTGTGAGCATCCCCGCCATTGAGAAAAGATGCCCTCTTTGACCTACAGCTGAGTTCTTCTCTGTCCTTGTGGCTGCAGGAAAGAAGGAAGAAACTCGTGAAATGCCTGGAAAGAAAAAGTAAGCGGCTCCTATGTGCTTTTAATATTCTTTCTGTATTCTGGCTTTTGTCAGGTCAGAACATCTTGGTTTTGTTTACGAGAGGGCCTGTCAGGAGGCTTTCAGCTTCCAGAGTTCTTGGGTGCTTCTCTCCTGGACACATTGGTCATTTATCTTGTCTTCGCACATTTCGGTCTCCTGCTTTTTGGAAACTTCCCTTTGGGAACTGACCTCATTTGATCATTTGAAGGGACAATCTACCCAGCCCTGAATTCTGTGTCAGGGAGAGGAACTGGATGCTCTGGTAGAGGCAGTTAACACCTGACATTCTAGGTTTTCTGGGCAGTTCCGTGGCAGCATCAGTGTACATGGCATCAAAGAATGACTGCAGGTACATCCTTTGTCCAGGAAAAAGGAATAGGAATTGAACTTTACCGTGGAGTATTCCAGGTCCAGGAGCAGAGTGCACAGGTGCCCAGAAAGGAAGTGGTACAGGCAGCAGGGCTGGTGGGGTCATTAATTTAAATTGTCTTCTAGGCTTCACCAGGACCCTTTCTACCCACTTTTGGAGGGAGAGTGACGTCCTCTGAGATATGCCTCTGAGTCCCACGTTCTGTCTCCGAATTCCCATGCTGAGTACTCCAACGTCACTAGGTTCTACCCCAGTGAAGCTGGAAGCATGGGAGGACCAGTGAAGCCCCCTGAACAGATAGCATTTCTCAGTATTATCTTACGCACTGAAAATTCTGAAATTCGTGTGAAACCTGAAATCATGACTCCCAAGTGTGATATGCACGAACCAATTATCCTATACCGGCATAGTCATGCAAGTGTTCTCTCAGGTGTAGTTTGAACCTACTTCATAAATACCCGTGTGTTGAAGTCATGAGTTGCAGCCCTTCAGGACTGAGGAAGGAGCTAAGGAGAAACTAGAACTTACCAGGGATGGGTGGGAATGGGTAAGAACTTCTCAGTCCAATTTTGCGTGACAGCGTCAAGGGCCATATTCATGCCACACGATCTCTTCTCTGCTGATAAGGTGTTCTCTTCCCAAGATTCTCATTGGATGGCTCCTGTCATTCTGCTGTTTCTACACCAACACATATCAGGCTTCTCCACATTGCGTGTGTGGCACTTCTACACTGGCAGTGTAATTACATTGTCTTCTGTGCATTTCTGTTTTCTGCCCAAATCGAGTAGACAGGGTCTCCCAGAAACAGCTTGGCTTTGGAATGGCTTACTTGTGCAGAGAGTGCTTCTCTGGATCAATGATGAGAACAACTACCTGAGGACGCTGAGGGTCTCATAACAAATGGCAATCTGAGGTCCAGACGTGTAGCCTCTGTGGAGATGACTACGATTTTCAGAGCCTGGCATTGCCTGGGTTCTCCTGCTGGCAGTTTGTACACTCATTGTTCAGGCTTCCGCATACAGGGCAGTGAGCCATTGGCATCAATCCTATTTTCACAGACCGAGATTGCTGGCCTTCCTTTCTCTCCTTTGCACTCAGCTCTGGAAATGTGGAGAGGCTCTGGGTGTTCTTGAGACAGCATTGAGGAGCTTGGAAAGAGCTCGTGAGGACAGGTTCCCATACAAGAGATTGTACTTAAGGCCTCTTTCTTCCTGCCAGATGAGGAAGCCCTTCCTATAGGAGGGATCCAAATTCCAGTCATACAGTGGAAACTTAGATTCAGGGTAGGGTTGTTACTTCATTCATGTCTTTGTTTCTCCGACCCTGTCTTGTGGAAATACTATTTTGTGAGTAATGTGGTATCAGGAAATCCTGTGTAGTATGACTTGCTGTGGGTTGGACCAGATGGATGTAAGCACGCCAGGAGGCTCAGCATCCCCAGCAAGCTTTCCAAATGGGTTCAATGAGTGGGGATTCATGACTCTCACAGTCCAGTCCTCTCCCGTCTACCGATTCTATTTGGCATCAATGACCCCGGGGCCATGGGGAATTTGTGAGCACCCCCACCGTTGAGAAAAGATGCCCTCTTTGACCTGCAGCTGAGGTCTTCTCTATCTTTGTGCCTGCAGGAAAGAAGCAAGAAACTCGTGAAATGCCTGGAAAGAAAAGGTAAGAGGCTCCTATATCTTTTTAATATTCTTTCTGTTTTCTGGCTTTTGTCAGGTAAGAACATCTTGGTATTGTTTATGAGAGGGCCTGTCAGGAGGCTTTCAACTTTCAGGGTTCTTGGTTGCTTCTCTCCGGGATACATTAGTCATTTATCTTGTCTTCCCCCATTTCGGGCTCCTGCTTTTTGGAAACTTCCTTTTGGGAAGTGACCTCAGTCGATCATTTGAAGGGACAATCTACCCAGCGCTGAGTTCTGTGTCAGGGAGAGAAACTGGATGCTCTGGTAGAGGCAGTTAGCACCTGACATTCCAGGTTTTCTCGGCAGTTCCCTGGGCAGCATCAGTGTACATGGCATCAAAGCAATGACTGCAGGTACATCCTTTGTCCAGGAAAAAGGAATAGGAATTGAACTTTGCCTTGGATTATTCCAGGTCCAGGAGCAGAGTTCATGGGTGCACAGAAAGGAAGTGGTACAGGCAGGAGGGCTGGTGGAGTCCTCAATTTTGATTGTCTTCTAGGCTTCACCAGGACCTCTTCTACCCACTTTGGGAGAGAGAGTGACATCCTTTGAGATATATCTCCGAGTCCAACGTTCTGTCTCGGAAATCCCATGCTGAGTACTCCAAGGTCATTAGGTTCTGCCCCGGTGAAGCTTGCCTTCACAGGGAGAGCTTTGCAGGCTTCACTGGCCCGAGGAAATGGTTTTGGCCCAGGTCGCCATCATTGCATGAGAGGGCCGAAAAACGAAGGCTGCGAACACAGAGCATTTCTCGGTATTATCTTAGGGACTTAAAAGTCCAAAATTCATGTGAAACCTGAAATCATGCCCCCCAAGTGTGATATACACGCCCAAAACATCCTATGCCAGCTTAGCCATGCACGTATTCTCTCAGGTGGAGTTTTGAACTCCTTCATGAATACTCGTGTGATTTTGAACTCCTTCATGAATGCTCGTGTGATGCAGTCATGTGTGGCAGCCTTTCTCTGTTCAGGAAGGAGCTACTGCAAGCCTCGAGCTTACCAGGTATGGGCTTGAAGGGGTAAGCGCTTCTCAGACCATATTTGCCTGACAGTGTCCAGAGCCATATTCGTGCCACTCAAATGCTTCTGTACTGAAAGGGTATTCTCTTCCCAAAATTCTCATCTGACGGCTCATATCGTTCTGCTATTTCTAGACAAACACATGTCAGGCTTCTCCTCACTGCGCATGTGGCACTTCTGCACTGGCAGTGTAATTACATTGTCTCCTGTGCATTTCTCTTCTTCGCCCGAATCGAGTAGACAGGGGCTCCCAGAAACAGCCTGGCTGTGGAATGGCTTACTTGTGGAGAGAGTGCTTCTCTGGATCGATGATGAGAACAACTACCTGAGGACGCTGAGGGTCTCATAACAAATGGCAATCTGAGTCCAGACGTGTAGCCTCTGTGGAGACGACTATGATTTTCACAGCCGGGCATTGCCTGGGTTCTCCGGCCGGGCAGTTTGTACACACATTGTACAGGCTTCCATTTACAGGGCCACGAGGACTCGGTATCGATCTATGTTCCCGGACCAAGAATACTGTCCTTCCTTTCTCTCCTTTTCCACTCAGCTCTGGAAATGTGGAGAGGCTCTGGGTGTTCTTGAGACAGCATTGAGGAGCTTGGGAAGAGCTCGTAAAGACAGGTTCCCATACAAGTGATTGTACTTAAGGTCTCTTTCTTCCTGCGAGACAAGGAAGCCCTTACTTTAGAAGGGGATCCAAATTCCAGTCATACAATGGGAACTTAGATTCAGGGTAGGGTTGTTACTTCATTCATGTCTTTGTTTCT